TCAAGGGCGATGTCTGTAAGATGTAGGGCGACTGGCTGTCAGTGGGTACATATTACCGAATTCTCTGCTGTGCGGCTGTCAGGGCGCTGTTCCATGAAACGGCTCCAAATGCAAGCTGTGGAAACCTGTAGTCCGTTCCAAACCAGGACTTTAACCCCACACGCTCACGCTCACGTGCAGAAGTCAACAAGCGTCCGCAACTCCCAGGTGAAGGCTAGCTCACAAGAACTGAAGCCCTTGCAAGTTACAGTCTGTGGGTCGTATACACCACCCACAAGACTCCATCTGAAATCCTGATTCTTATGTTCGCACTTCTTCTTCGCTTTGACAGCTCACAACTCCGCGGGCAGATGCAGCACAGGTTTTGTATCATGTTTGCGAATCACGTTGCGAGGCAAAGCAAAGGCCGCACACGTGCAGCCACAAGTCATGCAAAAGTTCACGGCCAGCCGACTGATACTGTGGCAAAGCCCGTAGTTTTGCCACGTCTGCAACAGCGGACAGCAAGAGGCTGGATGCCCTGGGGGTCGCAAGGACAGCCTGCATCGCTGGCAAGAGATCCGGCAGCATCTCATCATGCAGCCAGTATTTCATCAGCACGTAGACTTCCACCAGCTGTTCGGTCTCCAACATGGAGACCATGTAGAGGATCCGTCTGAGCCCGACCTTTCGACGCTCCCTAATGTCAGCGACCACCCCGGCAATGAGCATTCGTTTCACACTGCACGAGGAGCAGCGGAAGCACAACCAAACAGCCTGGTACGCAGCTTCGCATACCTGAGCATTCTCGTCGTGGCACTGTCCCTGCAATCGAGCCAGGAGATGGCGGACACGCGTCTGGTCAAGAAAGCTGGTTCCGCTTTCGTAGGCCATTTGGCGATGGCACCAGGCCTGACCTCATGTGACTCAGACTCTGCCGCAGATACCCGAAAGACTAACAAAAACTGACGGAGTCTTGCAGGCGAGCGTCTGTCCAAGATCTTCTTGGTCTCTGCGCCCACACCGTCTTGTGAAGTCATGTCCGGAGACTGGAACGGAGACGGGCACAGGATCTCTCTCATCTTCTTTGAGGCGCACTTGTCAACGATGGTGGCAGGGTCATGGCCGGCCACCAGAGCAAGCCTGTGTGCACACTTCAACTCGCGACCCACTCGGCCATGCACAAATAAATGCGTAGAAGTGGCTTCTCAAAGGCAGTCTGGGTGAGATGTTGGACCACAGCCTGGTCATGGGCTCAAGGCGCAAGGCAGCTCTGCTGTGACGCCTGGTTCGACATGGCCTCAGATATTCTGTTGGCCTTGGTCCGAAATGACGTCTGCATCAACATCACCAACTCCTGTACCTATCCACTCTCAGGGCTGATGTCGAGAGTGTCACTTTGCAACTTCGTACAAGGCATGTGAGTTTCATACACTGGAACCCGGCCTCCAGTAAGTCATACAGAGCTGGCCTAAGCTGCATTTGTGTGCGTACGTGCTGAACATGGTTCGGCCGATTCAGAGCACCGCCGCAGATCTGGGCCAAGTAGCAGCGGCAGGCTGATCAGGACCGGGTCTTCCGGTCCCTCTACCTCGCGAAACAGGCGAAGCAGCGAACAACGGAAACCTGAAAAACGGTAACGGAGGCCTCTGCGCTGCCGCCGTCGCTCAAGAACGATCCGAACCAGCTCGCCAAAGAAGTCAGAGCAGGAACTGGGGAAGCGGCTTGCCTCGGATCTGGGCCCCTCCGAGCATCCAGTTGAGGTGGTCAAGATCGGCCAAGCAGCAATAGGATCGAAACGTCCCAGCCCATGGCGACCGTGTGCACGTCCGTGTCATCTCCCAAATCATCATGTTCGGACCTTTCAGCAAGTTGACAAATGCTCGGAAAGAGCAAACTCTCGTTGGGGTCGCTGGGCTCGTTGGACTCATGACCCTTGGGAACTCCAGCGCTCTTCTGACACCGTGGCCAATGTTGCGAGGTCTCATGCGGAGTCACTACACATCTTTTACTTATGCAATGTGATGCCCTGAGCACCGGACGTCGATTGCACGTCCGATACGTCTCCATCAACCTCCAACCGTGAGTCCTCTGCATCCAGCTCATCCGCCTCTGGGGACCCTTCCGAGGTATCAGCAACGGCGGCATTCTGTGGCCTTAGTGCGGAATGAAGACTTCCTGCAGCTGCACTTTGGGGTAACACTACAGTGAGGTCGTATTGGAAGGGAGAGACATTCGCAAGCGAGAAGATCGACCTGACTGTTGTGTTGTTGTAGGAAAGCGTCGTTGCGGCCATTGCGAAAGCCGCCTCCAGTGTCTGCAGAGCATGGTCAGCATCCATACCGTGTTCCTGTCCATCATCCAGGTCACTCTCCTGGACAAGACAAGCGCAGATAGGCACCTGATGGCACTGGTGTGCGTCCAGAGTCCTGCGAGTTCGTGGATGGCGTGTTTGTACTCAGGCTCGGCCTCCCAGAAGACGACGACATCCTTATCAGAGCTGGCAGCTTCCACAAGAAGACGACTTGAGCATGTTTCTGACCTGAACCCACAGGTAACCATAAGGCACAGTATTTGAAAAACAAACAGCTCCTTTCCACTGGATGCAAGTGACTGGAAGGTTATGTCGGTGCCGCAAGCGCCCTCGGCATCCTCAATCAATGACGGAATTTCTCCAGCTATCATGAAGCCGGCAACAAATCTTATCTCATCTGTAGCCGTACTGAAGCCCCAGCTCAACATTCCAGCTGTGCTATCTGTAAGCTTCAACTCGGGCGATGTCGGGCCGTAACTATCGTCATCACTTGGCAGATAGTCGGCTCGGGGTCTTGAGCGACGTTCATAGCCAGCCCCCCGGCCCCGTAGCTTGCAAAGGTATTTCCACGCGCTGAGACGCGTGTGACCTTATATAGCCACCCTGCACCAAAAAACAGCTGTGCGACTACATGGCCGCAAACGGCAACAGATGCCACCATGCCAGGAAAGCTGAAGCCCCACAAGAAGAGGTCCCAAAATTGGGATTCACATTCTGGGCAGGAAGTGGCCCAGCACCACGTGCCAACGCAGGGTAAGCCAGCAGCCTCTACTGGGCATCCGTGAAGCTAAGCCCCAACCCCACGCCTGTAGACCACCGCATGGCATCAGGCACTCTGCTTGGTCGCTTGGCCGTTTCAACCTTTGGTGCCAAGTGAGACGCATGCTGCGCACTAGAAGCCACAAGTGGAAACCAGCTTTCCCTCGCAGTCCAAGCGTCGATGCAGTTTGCATCATCACCAAGCCTACCATTGCCATTCGGCATTCGAAGACATCTTGCTTCACTACCACATTCCCTCTTAACGGAGGGCCTCGTCTTGGGGTCGTCAGTTCGGAGCCCGGCCTGAGCTCAACAGGGCCCGCTCGCGCTTCGGATATCTGACGCATAGCCTTGAACCCAAGCTGGCCTTCCGCTGGGAAGGTTGGCGTCTGAGTCCTCCAAGTATCTTTCAGGGTTCATGGCTGCCGCATCCTACCAAGTGGCGCAGTTCTTTGCCAGACCTAATGTAAAACCGTGTCTGCGTGCAGAAGCCCTGTTCTGAAGCCGAAAAGACTCGCCAAAAAAGTTTGAGAACATCTCCAAAGGCCTGGCCTGGCACAGCCCCAAATGACCCGAACCCTCCCTGCTTTGCGGACTGTCGCCTCCTCGCCGCCAGCTGCACTCTGCAACGGCCTGAACAACTCAATTCCCACCCAGACTGATAGAAGGATTGCTGAGCTTCTCTCCGAGGTATTTGGTAGTTAATTAAGTGGCCATGCATGCATCCTTCTTCATGCACAAGCGTGGTCTCAATGCCCTTTCAAAGACCACTCAATGCAGCACAGGGACAGGCACAGCGGCTTCTGACAAGGAGGTTGAAAGTCCACCTTCGTTTCGCAGCAGCACAGAATGAAAGAGATACGCTTGTTGCATGATGCTCAGGCACCAGTGTTGGTTCTGCGCAGTTGCGAGGAGGGTAGGACACCCTGAAGCTCACGGTCACAACTCACAAGGGTAGCCAATCACTGCAGACATTTTTGATTCTCTGGTGCCTCGGTGCCGAGACGGGCAGGCACGCCTATCCCGCTCAGGTGTTTGCAGTGAGGTTGTGTTAACCAGGACTGAGCTCGCGTAACACTAATCACTGCACACAAGGGGCCAAGCAAGACTCGAAAGAATGTGCAAGAAACCTTAAGAATGTCCTTGCAAGAAGTCGGCACATTCCGCTGCGCCGCCTCTTTGACGATCCTTGCGAACGCCGTGCCATAGGGGCAAACCTGGCCAACATCAGTGCACAGAGATTTCTCAGCAGACTCCTTTGAAACAGAAAGCCTCTCTTCAAGCACCACGTCACAAGCTGCTCGCGTCTCAATGCAGGAACGCTGTCTTTGTGCTCAGCACGCTGAAGCATCAAGCAGGATGTCTGACATGCCGCTCGAAGCCTCTTGTGCTCCCCACAGCCATTGGAAACAATCCATGTTACCAACGGTGGCAGAAGCCTTACTGCAGTAGAAGCTGCCAAGTAAGGTCCCTGTACCTGCGAAGTGCACACTCCTGTAATTGTATCCAATGCTGCTGTCCATAAGGCTTGATGGCTTCCTGCATCCGATGCATCTTTCGCAAAGCACTCCGAAGTTACAACTTCAAACTTTAGGGGCATGCTTGCGACGATGCAGCCGACACAGAATGCAGCAATGTGCATCACAGACTCATCAAATCTCACCAGAGGGGGCACGCTTTACAAGGCTGCTCGGAGACGAGATTTTTGCCACTCGCAATGAATGTCTGGGTGCGACAACTGTATCTTCCTCTTGGATGCCCTGCAGGTTTGGTCTGTTCACTGTCGCCTGTGAGACAGCCGTGCATATTCCCTCAGGCTTGCATGCAAGATGCAAGGACTGGCAAACACTTAGGCAAACTATGGCAAACTATATCAATCATCTTGAAACCAAAAAATCTGACAGTCCTCTTGTGCGTCAATTTCACACGCCATGGCGGTGCGAGCGACGTTGTGGGCCAGCACCGTATGGTAGAAGGCGTCCAGTGCTGTGTCGATTTCGTCCAGCAAGTAGAAGGGACCACGCGCAAGCTTTTGGATGGCAAACACCAAGCTCAAGGCCACCACTGTCCTCTGGCTTTTGGAAAGTTGATGAGTGGACCGCCTGGGCAGCGATGGACATGTCGATGTGCTCACCCAGCACATCTCCGAGGCCCACAAGTCCAGGGGCCATCTCGCTGAATACCCGCTGGAAGTTGGCATGCACTTTGCGCAGCATCTGATACACGATATTTGCCTTTTGCGTGATGGCCCTTGCAGCTGCAACCTGACCCTCTTCGAACTGCTGCTTGCGCTTTTTCAGGCTCATGAGCTCTGAGAAAACTCTGCGGCTTTCTTGCTTCAACATCCAGGCGGCCTCTGACAATTTTGCCTCCACCTCTGCCCCCTTGCGGCTCTCCAGGCGAGTGGAACCCTGTGATGCCTTGTTCTTGGTGCACTGCTCCTCTGCTGCCAGATGCTCGGGGAGAATCTGCAACTCCTCGCTCTTCATGGCCGACACACTCACAGCTCCGCAGCGCTCCTTCTGTGTCCGGCCCTCGTTTTGCTGCGAAACCGATGTGCTCACGACCTCCGGCGCCAGCAAGTGCAAACAGGTTTCCGTACGAGCATTCTGGCATGACAGGCACGTGTGTTGCTGGAATCACTGGCGGAAACGGTGGAAACACCATGTGCCCAACACAAGTCGTTTTCAGACGCGTTGAAGCTGCGTTTATCAAGAGTTGGTTCATACTCGACATGCACTGTATTCTATAAAGCATGTGTGACACGGCGATGTGGTGAGTCAACTTGTGCCTGCAGCAGTTCTGCCTTCTCTGCATGTTGCGCGTTCAAAGCCATGTTGTTGAAATGATTCCAAACACTGACAACAATCTGGCGTTCTTCAGGCCCCTATCTAATCACTGAAAAGGCGGAAGCATCCTGAATCAGAGCTCTTGAAATTTGGCCCCTCGCGAGCCTTACAACGGGTTTGTGAATCAAACTGCAACGCCACAGTTCACCAAAGGGCTTCAACAGCATTGACCCATCGCCCTGCTGGCTTTCGCTAGCTGGCCGGTTTCAGTACAATATACCCCGAGTACCCCCCGTTGATCTTCGGAGCCTCCCAGCATACCGAGCGGTGATCTTGGAGCTTGGTTAAGCAACTGTGCAAAGGGCTCGGGTCAAGCCCGTCTGCGCCAACGTTGTGAAACATATTTAACTCCGCGAAGCTTGCAACAAAGCTTTAGAACCACCAAGTAGTCGACACACGGACGCTGCAACAACAAACAGTCTTGCCGAAGCTCCTGGGAGTCTGGCGAGGCTCCAGCTTGATAAGTTACGTAGGGCTGATTTTATATTGGGATGTCGCAAAATCATTTTCGGCAAATCGGAATGTAATGGAAAACAGTCCAGTTGCAATCGACTTGGGCCATTGAGAATAGGATCGAAACATATCAAACCGATCGTGAGGAAAACCGACAGACATCAGCACAACAACTCAGAACCCGGCTTTAAAGCACGGTGCACGTGCAGACACAGTCTCTTGCCGCTCTTGCCTGCCGCATGCGCGAATGCTGTACGATACTGACTCCATGTCCGCCCTTGGTCGGTGTTTGGGACTGCAAACAGCACACGATCCACCTTCGTGGTTGCCTGAACGGTGTAGCCGACCAGTGGGGTGTCCTGGGACATAGCAGTGATGCCAGAATGCCACTGCAGCAACAGCAAATTAAGGCCCGCGCCCCGATGAGCGCCGTCTCGCCGCCGTAAGACATCGGTGCGAACTGAACCTGTGTGGAATAAACTCAGCTTGTGACCCTCCGAAGCAGACATGTCCCCAAAAAGGCCTCCACCATCCATGAATTTTCGTCCACGGCCAAGATGCAAGCCTGCTGTAATGAAGCGTGGTGGCCGTTGAAGTAGGTTGAACACTCTAAACGCTCTGACAGATGACGACTCGCGACCTCGATGGAAAAGATTCCTTGCCCTTGTGGAGTGTGGAATAGCACCGGAGCCTCCCGGCCTTGCCTCAGTATGGTCGCGCACGCTTAATTGCTTGCACCTGCTGCGAGTCATCAGCTCGGGACCTCAGTGCAGCCAGGCAGCACCGACACCCAACGTCGCGTTGGCACGAAGCAGCCATCGGTGTACCTACCGAGTGCGTTGGACCCACTCCCGTTGACGAACACGACGAGTCAATTTGTGTCCGCATTTGTGCGGGCACTCGGCCACCAAGACAATGGCCGATGAGCCCATTGCCTAGAAAATCTCGGTCCGCAAACCAAAGCTCAAATCTGTGCAAGTCTATAAGGGTCCGGCCGCCTGTCAGCACGCATTCCCCCGAAGCCCGTGCTTGCTCCAGGCAAATGCAGACGGCAAGGAGCAGAGCTTGCTTCAGAACAAGTGTTTCAACGGCAAAAATGGTGCGACGCCTTGCGTGGGCTGGTCAGAAAAGCAGTATAGCGGGGTGTCGCAGTCGCTTCAATCCCACACGCTCACATTCGCTAGCTCACAAGAACAAGCTAGATCAAAGAACTGAAGCCCTTGCAAGTTACAGTCTGTGGGTCGTAAACACCACCCACAAGACTCCATCTGAAATCCTGATTATGTTCGCACTTCTTCTTCGCTTTGACAGCTCACAACTCCGCGGGCAGATGCAGCACGGGTTTTGTATCATGTTTGCGAATCACGTTGCGAGGCAAAGCAAAGGCCGCACACGTGCAGCCACAAGTCATGCAAAAGTTCACGGCCAGCCGACTGATACTGTGGCAAAGCCCGTAGTTTTGCCACGTCTGCAACAGCGGACAGCAAGAGGCTGGATGCCCTGGGGGTCGCAAGGACAGCCTGCATCGCTGGCAAGAGATCCGGCAGCATCTCATCATGCAGCCAGTATTTCATCAGCACGTAGACTTCCACCAGCTGTTCGGTCTCCAACATGGAGACCATGTAGAGGATCCGTCTGAGCCCGACCTTTCGACGCTCCCTAATGTCAGCGACCACCCCGGCAATGAGCATTCGTTTCACACTGCACGAGGAGCAGCGGAAGCACAACCAAACAGCCTGGTACGCAGCTTCGCATACCTGAGCATTCTCGTCGTGGCACTGTCCCTGCAATCGAGCCAGGAGATGGCGGACACGCGTCTGGTCAAGAAAGCTGGTTCCGCTTTCGTAGGCCATTTGGCGATGGCACCAGGCCTGACCTCATGTGACGCAGACTCTGCCGCAGATACCCCAAAGACTAACAAAAACTGACGGAGTCTTGCAGGCGAGCGTCTGTCCAAGATCTTCTTGGTCTCTGCGCCCACACCGTCTTGTGAAGTAATGTCCGGAGACTGGAACGGAGACGGGCACAGGATCTCTCTCATCTTCTTCGAGGCGCACTTGTCAACGATGGTGGCAGGGTCATGGCCGGCCACCAGAGCAAGCCTGTGTGCACACTTCAACTCGCGACCCACTCGGCCATGCACAAATAAATGCGTAGAAGTGGCTTCTCAAAGGCAGTCTGGGTGAGATGTTGGACCACAGCCTGGTCATGGGCTCAAGGCGCAAGGCAGCTCTGCTGTGACGCCTGGTTCGACATGGCCTCAGATATTCTGTTGGCCTTGGTCCGAAATGACGTCTGCATCAACATCACCAACTCCTGTACCTATCCACTCTCAGGGCTGATGTCGAGAGTGTCACTTTGCAACTTCGTACAAGGCATGTGAGTTTCATACACTGGAACCCGGCCTCCAGTAAGTCATACAGAGCTGGCCTAAGCTGCATTTGTGTGCGTACGTGCTGAACATGGTTCGGCCGATTCAGAGCACCGCCGCAGATCTGGGCCAAGTAGCAGCGGCAGGCTGATCAGGACCGGGTCTTCCGGTCCCTCTACCTCGCGAAACAGGCGAAGCAGCGAACAACGGAAACCTGAAAAACGGTAACGGAGGCCTCTGCGCTGCCGCCGTCGCTCAAGAACGATCCGAACCAGCTCGCCAAAGAAGTCAGAGCAGGAACTGGGGAAGCGGCTTGCCTCGGATCTGGGCCCCTCCGAGCATCCAGTTGAGGTGGTCAAGATCGGCCAAGCAGCAATAGGATCGAAACGTCCCAGCCCATGGCGACCGTGTGCACGTCCGTGTCATCTCCCAAATCATCATGTTCGGACCTTTCAGCAAGTTGACAAATGCTCGGAAAGAGCAAACTCTCGTTGGGGTCGCTGGGCTCGTTGGACTCATGACCCTTGGGAACTCCAGCGCTCTTCTGACACCGTGGCCAATGTTGCGAGGTCTCATGCGGAGTCACTACACATCTTTTACTTATGCAATGTGATGCCCTGAGCACCGGACGTCGATTGCACGTCCGATACGTCTCCATCAACCTCCAACCGTGAGTCCTCTGCATCCAGCTCATCCGCCTCTGGGGACCCTTCCGAGGTATCAGCAACGGCGGCATTCTGTGGCCTTAGTGCGGAATAAAGACTTCCTGCAGCTGCACTTTGGGGTAACACTACAGTGAGGTCGTATTGGAAGGGAGAGACATTCGCAAGCGAGAAGATCGACCTGACTGTTGTGTTGTTGTAGGAAAGCGTCGTTGCGGCCATTGCGAAAGCCGCCTCCAGTGTCTGCAGAGCATGGTCAGCATCCATACCGTGTTCCTGTCCATCATCCAGGTCACTCTCCTGGACAAGACAAGCGCAGATAGGCACCTGATGGCACTGGTGTGCGTCCAGAGTCCTGCGAGTTCGTGGATGGCGTGTTTGTACTCAGGCTCGGCCTCCCAGAAGACGACGACATCCTTATCAGAGCTGGCAGCTTCCACAAGAAGACGACTTGAGCATGTTTCTGACCTGAACCCACAGGTAACCATAAGGCACAGTATTTGAAAAACAAACAGCTCCTTTCCACTGGATGCAAGTGACTGGAAGGTTATGTCGGTGCCGCAAGCGCCCTCGGCATCCTCAATCAATGACGGAATTTCTCCAGCTATCATGAAGCCGGCAACAAATCTTATCTCATCTGTAGCCGTACTGAAGCCCCAGCTCAACATTCCAGCTGTGCTATCTGTAAGCTTCAACTCGGGCGATGTCGGGCCGTAACTATCGTCATCACTTGGCAGATAGTCGGCTCGGGGTCTTGAGCGACGTTCATAGCCAGCCCCCCGGCCCCGTAGCTTGCAAAGGTATTTCCACGCGCTGAGACGCGTGTGACCTTATATAGCCACCCTGCACCAAAAAACAGCTGTGCGACTACATGGCCGCAAACGGCAACAGATGCCACCATGCCAGGAAAGCTGAAGCCCCACAAGAAGAGGTCCCAAAATTGGGATTCACATCAGGAAGTGGCCCAGCACCACGTGCCAACGCAGGGTAAGCCAGCAGCCTCTACTGGGCATCCGTGAAGCTAAGCCCCAACCCCACGCCTGTAGACCACCGCATGGCATCAGGCACTCTGCTTGGTCGCTTGGCCGTTTCAACCTTTGGTGCCAAGTGAGACGCATGCTGCGCACTAGAAGCCACAAGTGGAAACCAGCTTTCCCTCGCAGTCCAAGCGTCGATGCAGTTTGCATCATCACCAAGCCTACCATTGCCATTCGGCATTCGAAGACATCTTGCTTCACTACCACATTCCCTCTTAACGGAGGGCCTCGTCTTGGGGTCGTCAGTTCGGAGCCCGGCCTGAGCTCAACAGGCCCCCGCTCGCGCTTCGGATATCTGACGCATAGCCTTGAACCCAAGCTGGCCTTCCGCTGGGAAGGTTGGCGTCTGAGTCCTCCAAGTATCTTTCAGGGTTCATGGCTGCCGCATCCTACCAAGTGGCGCAGTTCTTTGCCAGACCTAATGTAAAACCGTGTCTGCGTGCAGAAGCCCAAAAAGTTTGAGAACATCTCCAAAGGCCTGGCCTGGCACAGCCCCAAATGACCCGAACCCTCCCTGCTTTGCGGACTGTCGCCTCCTCGCCGCCAGCTGCACTCTGCAACGGCCTGAACAACTCAATTCCCACCCAGACTGATAGAAGGATTGCTGAGCTTCTCTCCGAGGTATTTGGTAGTTAAGTGGCCATGCATGCATCCTTCTTCATGCACAAGCGTGGTCTCAATGCCCTTTCAAAGACCACTCAATGCAGCACAGGGACAGGCACAGCGGCTTCTGACAAGGAGGTTGAAAGTCCACCTTCGTTTCGCAGCAGCACAGAATGAAAGAGATACGCTTGTTGCATGATGCTCAGGCACCAGTGTTGGTTCTGCGCAGTTGCGAGGAGGGTAGGACACCCTGAAGCTCACGGTCACAACTCACAAGGGTAGATATCACTGCACACATTTTTGACTCTCTGGTGCCTCGGTGCCGAGACGGGCAGGCACGCCTATCCCGCTCAGGTGTTTGCAGTGAGGTTGTGTTAACCAGGACTGAGCTCGCGTAACACTAATCACTGCACACAAGGGGCCAAGCAAGACTCGAAAGAATGTGCAAGAAACCTTAAGAATGTCCTTGCAAGAAGTCGGCACATTCCGCTGCGCCGCCTCTTTGACGATCCTTGCGAACGCCGTGCCATAGGGGCAAACCTGGCCAACATCAGTGCACAGAGATTTCTCAGCAGACTCCTTTGAAACATGAAGCCTCTCTTCAAGCACCACGTCACAAGCTGCTCGCGTCTCAATGCAGGAACGCTGTCTTTGTGCTCAGCACGCTGAAGCATCAAGCAGGATGTCTGACATGCCGCTCGAAGCCTCTTGTGCTCCCCACAGCCATTGGAAACAATCCATGTTACCAAAGGTGGCAGAAGCCTTACTGCAGTAGAAGCTGCCAAGTAAGGTCCCTGTACCTGCGAAGTGCACACTCCTGTAATTGTATCCAATGCTGCTGTCCATAAGGCTTGATGGCTTCCTGCATCCGATGCATCTTTCGCAAAGCAATCCGAAGTTACAACTTCAAACTTTAGGGGCATGCTTGCGACGATGCAGCCGACACAGAATGCAGCAATGTGCATCACAGACTCATCAAATCTCACCAGAGGGGGCCGCTTTACAAGGCTGCTCGGAGACGAGATTTTTGCCACTCGCAATGAATGTCTGGGTGCGACAACTGTATCTTCCTCTTGGATGCCCTGCAGGTTTGGTCTGTTCACTGTCGCCTGTGAGACAGCCGTGCATATTCCCTCAGGCTTGCATGCAAGATGCAAGGACTGGCAAACACTTAGGCAAACAATGGCAAACTATATCAATCATCTTGAAACCAAAAAATCTGACAGTCCTCTTGTGCGTCAATTTCACACGCCATGGCGGTGCGAGCGACGTTGTGGGCCAGCACCGTATGGTAGAAGGCGTCCAGTGCTGTGTCGATTTCGTCCAGCAAGTAGAAGGGACCACGCGAAAGCTTTTGGATGGCAAACACCGAGCTCAAGGCCACCACTGTCCTCTGGCTCTTGGAAAGTTGATGAGTGGACCGCCTGGGCAGCGATGGACATGTCGATGTGCTCACCCAGCACATCTCCGAGGCCCACAAGTCCAGGGGCCATCTCGCTGAATACCCGCTGGAAGTTGGCATGCACTTTGCGCAGCATCTGATACACGATATTTGCCTTTTGCGTGATGGCCCTTGCAGCTGCAACCTGACCCTCTTCGAACTGCTGCTTGCGCTTTTTCAGGCTCATGAGCTCTGAGAAAACTCTGCGGCTTTCTTGCTTCAACATCCAGGCGGCCTCTGACAATTTTGCCTCCACCTCTGCCCCCTTGCGGCTCTCCAGGCGAGTGGAACCCTGTGATGCCTTGTTCTTGGTGCACTGCTCCTCTGCTGCCAGATGCTCGGGGAGAATCTGCAACTCCTCGCTCTTCATGGCCGACACACTCACAGCTCCCCAGCGCTCCTTCTGTGTCCGGCCCTCGTTTTGCTGCGAAACCGATGTGCTCACGACCTCCGGCGCCAGCAAGTGCAAACAGGTTTCCGTACGAGCATTCTGGCATGACAGGCACGTGTGTTGCTGGAATCACTGGCGGAAACGGTGGAAACACCATGTGCCCAACACAAGTCGTTTTCAGACACGTTGAAGCTGCGTTTATCAAGAGTTGGTTCATACTCGAAATGCACTGTATTCTATAAAGCATGTGTGACACGGCGATGTGGTGAGTCAACTTGTGCCTGCAGCAGTTCTGCCTTCTCTGCATGTTGCGCGTTCAAAGCCATGTTGTTGAAATGATTCCAAACACTGACAACAATCTGGCGTTCTTCAGGCCCCTATCTAATCACTGAAAAGGCGGAAGCATCCTGAATCAGAGCTCTTGAAATTCGGCCCCTCGCGAGCCTTACAACGGGTTTGTGAATCAAACTGCAACGCCACAGTTCACCAAAGGGCTTCAACAGCATTGACCCATCGCCCTGCTGGCTTTCGCTAGCTGGCCGGTTTCAGTACAATATACCCCGAGTACCCCCCGTTGATCTTCGGAGCCTCCCAGCATACCGAGCGGTGATCTTGGAGCGTGGTTAAGCAACTGTGCAAAGGGCTCGGGTCAAGCCCGTCTGCGCCAACGTTGTGAAACATATTTAACTCCGCGAAGCTTGCAACAAAGCTTTAGAACCACCAAGCAGTCGACACACGGACGCTGCAACAACAAACAGTCTTGCCGAAGCTCCTGGGAGTCTGGCGAGGCTCCAGCTTGATAAGTTTCGTAGGGCTGATTTTATATTGGGATGTCGCAAAATCATTTTCGGCAAATCGGAATGTAATGGAAAACAGTCCAGTTGCAATCGACTTGGGCCATTGAGAATAGGATCGAAACATATCAAACCGATCGTGAGGAAAACCGACAGACATCAGCACAACAACTCAGAACCCGGCTTTAAAGCACGGTGCACGTGCAGACACAGTCTCTTGCCGCTCTTGCCTGCCGCATGCGCGAATGCTGTACGATACTGACTCCATGTCCGCCCTTGGTCGGTGATTCTTACGCTGAAGCTCCCTCACCCCCCACAAGCGCCTGCTCGGTCCTCGTGCCAGGGCTTCGGCAGCTTCGAAGCCGGGACCCTGGAGATGTCAACACAACAAGCAGCTGAGGTCTTCGCGCCCTACCTTGGTGTGTGCGCAGTGTGCGTCTGCATTGCTACCCCCTGGGTGGACGCAAATCTCGAAGTCCCGGCCTTCCAAACCAGGAACGACGCTCCTCTCTTGCCGTGCATCGGCATCGCTCCTCAAATTTCTTAGGCTGAGCTGCTTGCATGGCTTAGCTTGTCTCGAGGCCCGCGCTTGGAGGCAGGTTTGGCAGTTTGGCACCTAGTGAAACGGGTTGGCGAACTGCAGCTCTCAAAAATGCTTGAAGCAGGCCTCCTCTGCCTGGGCAGGCCTCCCCTCGGCTCCAGGCACGACGTTAAATCTCAAGCCTACCCAAGCCTTCGATCAGCGACCCGCAGCAGGAAAGTGTGGCTCTGCGGAATGAGCCGCCTTCTCGTTCATGACGCCACAACGGCACTCGAACCTCCAATCCGCCGCCGGCCTGCTGCAAATCTTCGCACCGTGCCGGTCCACACTGCGCCAAACACACCCTATGTCAGCCCTATGTGCCATGTGCCTACAAGTATAGTACCAGAGGATTGTCTGCATCCCAGGGCTCCAGATCGAGCGCTGCTGCGATCTCCTCGCCATTGGCTGACATGCCCTCCCACGTGCTAAAAAAAAGACGCCTGCTCGCTGGATGTCACAATCCCGGCCTGAAGGAAGTTCGCTGGCAAACAGCGGCCCATGAATTCCTCCAAGATTGGCCTCCAGTCCAACAGACCATGCAAAAACCTGCCCATCTGCTGGTAGCACTCGGAACCCAACAGCTGCCGAGCTAAGAACGGCGCCAATCAGAATCACACATTGAGAGTGCTCAGTCAAGGGGCTTGTCTTCAGCAAGAGTCTTCAGCAAAAAGAAAGCTACTGTTTATGGCCCCGGCAACAGCTGTCGCCATTGTCTCGGACATTGAGGCCGCAATTGAAAGCGTCTCATAGAGCCACGGCAGCCGAACACACCTGCGCAAGCGAAGTAAGCATGGACCCTCGTGATGCACATGTGGCGTCGACTTCCATGGTCCTGCCTCCCTGCACGCAACGTGACTCAAGGAGATTCACAGCGCGCTAGGAGGGTGAGCAGCACCGTTGCACTTCCCTACTCACTCTACTCTGACTCTTCTTGGCTGCTGATGGCAACTACGTTTTGGCTCAAGCGCCTTTGGAGAAGGAGCCGCTTGAGGGCTTATAGAGTCTGTAGTGTACTGTAGTGTTGCTGACAAAGAAGCTTCAACTGGGGCAGCCAAAGCAAGAATTGCAGTGGCCTGCAGCTCTTCACACCACGAGCTCAGCTTCCGCAACTTCAGGCGTGGCGCAGCACCCAGCGCATACTCCGGTGATCGCCTTGGCTCGCAAGATGCACCCGCAATCCTCTGGAGTATGCATGGGGTCGCGGGGAAGGCAAGACGGCCGAAATCGTCGCATCCTCGCTTCCTTGACTCCCCCGCCTCCCAAAGATCCTTCACCTGCTTACGCTGCTCGGCCGCCTGGCGGGATGGAGGCTGGAGGGGTCTCTGCTCACCGCTCTCGTTGCTCACGAAGTCATGCATGCCCGCTGCTGCCTTGCGGTGCACATGCTCAACCATTTCCGGAATATCGTCCAACCAGAACATGTCAGCCTGCCGATCCCGTGACTTCGCGTCGAAGGATATATACTTGTGTCAGCTCACCTGTCAAACATGTCGTAGAGCGCAGATGCGTGCACATGCATTCTGTTATGTGCCGTCTGTATGCATTCGGAAGGGCATGCATTGGGCTGGGGGCTGGGATGGGTTTGGAACTCAATAAAACCGAGGCAATTACGACGGGGTCAAATGAAAGGTTATAAATTCTAGAATTGCATTGAAGGCATACGGAGTGATATCAGTGGCGTGCAGCCACGACACACCTACATGTCGTTTCCCTGTTAAACTATGTCTGGGACACCTGATATGTAACGAGAAAACCCATGGTTCCAGCTGGCGATTATACCCGGTTTAAGCCGGCCACGGGGTACCCCCCCATTTTGGGAAACTGACCGGTTTCTGACATGGCACCAAAGGGAGTCTCAGACCTTCCGCTGCCAGTCGCACTGGTTGCCATGTACAGCACGTAATCCTGCACCACATGACGTGGCCATTTTCAAGTAGGGTAAGGACGCCTGAGACAAAAGCCGCTAGAGGTTGCCCACACACAGCACGTCTTGTTACAGAGCAAGGTCGGGGGGGGGTTCTGTGGGTGGGTTCTGCGGAAGTGCTTGGGGGTTCTGCCATACACAGGGTATGATGGTGACCTCGGAGAGAAAAACAGGGCGTGACATACATTGGGTGGCCATGTCATGATGACCTCGACAGGGCATTGCATGCACACGGCATGCATGACATGACCTCTGAGACAAAAAACGACCTAGGAGAAAAGAACAGGGCGCGACATACGGGTGGCCATGTCAAGATGATGACATCGAGAAACACACAGGGCGTAACATACACAGGGTGGCCATGCCATGATGACCTCGGAGAAAACACAGGGCGTGACACACACACAGAGGGTGGCCATGTCATGATGACCTCGGAGTAAAACGTGACATACACGGGGTGGCCATGTCATGATGATGATGATGTCGGAGAAAACACAGCGCGTGACATACACAGGGTGGGCATGTCATGATGATGACCTCGGAGAAAAACACAGAGCATGACATACACAGGGTGGCCATGTGACGATGATTTCGGGGAAAAACATAGGGCGCGACATACATGTCATGATGTCCTCGGGGAACAACATTGGGCGTGACATCACAGGGTGGCCATGTCATGATGACCTCGGAGACAAACACAGGGCGTGACATACACAGGGCGGCCATGTCATGATGACCTCGGAGACAAACACGGGCGTGACATACACAGGGTGGCCATGTCGTGATGACCTCGAAGAAAACATAAGAAAACCACAAGAGGGTGACATACACAGCGTGGCCATGTCATGACGATGACCTCGGAGAAAAACACAGAGCATGACATACACAGGGTGGCCATGTGACGATGATTTCGGGGAAAAACACAGGGCGTGACATACACAGGGCGGCCATGTCATGATGACCTCGAAGAAAACATCTAGAGGGTGGGTGACATACACAGCGTGGCCATGTCATGACGATGACCTCGGAGAAAAACATAGGACATAGGGCGTGACATACACAGGGTGGCCATGTGACGATGACCTCGGAGAAAAACACAAGGTGTGACATACACAGGGTGGCCATGTCATGATGACCTAACCTTGAACCTCAAACGCCGACTTCTGCACGTCGCAAAAAATTATTGGAAACGTAGCTGCAACACAAAACCTGAAAGCTATAACTTAAGGAGACCACCTCGAACCAATGGCTCTGAAACACTTGGTGCAAGTCTGCTTCGAGGCCTGACAGCAGCATGAGCACCTGGGGAACACACCAAATCAAGCACGGTCTGGACCTGCTAATGATGCAAACACGCGGATCTCCCAACTGCTGAGGTGACAGAAGCTGCTTTTTTATCGCAGCATTGCCGACTCTACCCACTACCGAATTGTCAATGTTGGAATGTGCGCTTGCAAAGGCCAATTTGTGATTGCACGGGCGGCCCGCACACATAAGCGCAAGGCACTGCGTAGTATTCAAGAGATCCATTGCGCGTATTCTTCAGTTTTACGTTCCATGTGTCTAAAGAAGGACTTGGGAAGACAGGCAAAACAACTTGGCTTGACGAACACGAAGGAGCATTTCAACAGCGTTGTAAACGCCAGTGATTTTGCGACGTGCGCGACAAGCAATGTCCACGGCCTTCTGCTTACTCATGTTGGCACGTATGCTGTGTTTGCAACGGAAACTTTCGGGCGTGAACTCTATCTGAAACCAGGCCCAAGAGTAAGTCCAAGCACACATCCACAGTCTCAACATCCAAATCCGTGGACCGTATTCGCACTCCAAGCTTTAAGGTTAGATGGGGTTTATTCAGTACATTGAGAAGCGCGGTGGCATTCCCGAACGTATCAAACTCTAAGCCCTATAACCCCCTCCATTTGGGTCACACAATCCTAATTAGCCCTCAAAGAATGCAGACCCCAGCCGATATTGACCCGGGGCATGCGCTCACATCTGCGAGGTGCTTCCTGAGCTGCCAGTGTTCATACCGTCTCAGGCTTAGGATGATAACTCTACTGATGCACCACTCTGCATTGCTTCAGACATGTTCTGTGATGGTCTGCAGTTTAGGTGCCGGAGACGGTCCGCGACAAGGCCGGATTCGGCATCGGCTGCTCGGGTGGCATGGGACCGAAGGCTGTGTGCCCTTCTTTGCAGGCGAACGCGCACAACCAGTTGGGGATTTCTTGCCTATATGCCACGTGGGCACACAGGAGACTCAAAGGTCGCAAGTATGTACCAAGGCGTTTGTGCAATACTGAATAACGAATCGTTGATTCAAACATGTCCCTCGTGGTCGGCAGGACTTGCCTTGGCATGTTTTTTTAGTCATGCGTAGTTAAGCACTGTGCAGTGACTGGCTGCCGCTCAACCACAACTAAAACTGCGATACAGGACAATCTCGACAGCAATTACACAGGACAGATGCCGGGATTCCAGCTGGACACGCACCTTTAGCCTTGTAGTCTGTGTTCCCGCGCAAAAGGCGTGAAAGCAGCTCCCTTCGGTTTTTTTGGTCGACTGCAAGTCACATGTGATTCCCCAGAAAAAAGAGGTCGTTCTCCGACCTTCTGGCCCAAGATCTCGCAAAAGGCACCAGCAACCCTGTGCAGTGAAGCACCAGGGAACTCTCAGCCCACGGACTTGCAACAAACCTGAAAACTGACATCTCTCATTGCTTGCTGGATGCCACGCGGGATTGGAAACGTAAACTCGGGCTTCAGGCCAGCCATCTGAGTCTCGAAAGAACGCGCTACTACTAGTCCACTGAGGCATCAAGTAGCAGTTAACGACGGCAAGTTTACAACAGAGCCCTTCCTGAAGACCTCACACTGGTTAGATCTCTGCCAAACCCCAGCAGAGAACATGACCAGCGCCATGCGGATTCAAAGAGTCACGGCAAAACATTGCGCTTCTTGCTGCGTCGCGACGCCGATTTTGCTGCCTCAAGGCAAAAATGGGCCAAGGTTGGACAACCTGGAGCGACGACATGTCGAGCAGATATATGTCTGGTGCTACCTCAAAGATACAGATAGATGGAAACATGAGCTAGTTTTGCCGGCACATGGTCCTTGCGCATGCACGCAGAACGCTGCGCAGGTGGGTAATTAGGGACCACGCCGGCGGTGAGCGGCTACGCTTGGGTGATCCCGGCCTCAGCCGACCAAAGTCTCTCCAATTCAACTGGGATCTCCAGTGACGAACACGTCGCAAACATCAGTCGGAATCACTCCGATTGCCGCACGTGCTGGAACAATGGCTCTACGCAATTTGACCTGGCACTCTTGCATGACTCCGGCCAAGTCCCACTCCCATGCTCCAAGTCGGCAAGCAAGCCCACCTGAACCAAACCGATGACAAGAGTTCTCCCTGTTTTGAAAGTCATGTCGCAAGCCGCTCCTGCACGGTCGCCAAAAAGTGTGCCCAAGGATAGTGCAATCAACCCAATTCTGCTTGTCGGCACGATCCCTGAACTCAAGTGTCGTGAGGCCAGTGCCACATCGGATGTGAACTTCATGCTCTCTTTAAACACCTGCACAGCACGATCGAAAAGTCATAGTCTTGGCAAGCACGGAAAAATTTGTCGCAACTTCTAGCGCTCCTCTTGCGATGAGAGCAACAAGCGTCCCCATGTACACTGTGGCTTTTTCGGGCTCGTAAACTCATATATTACGTCAAGGGGTCGTAGGGCCAACTGGGTCAACGCAGTGCCGATGCGATGAAATCCATCCAAATGCTATGTCTAAACGCCAACTTCGCAAGTGGAAGATAGCACAAGCAAGATATCAGAACACAATTACCCTGTGACTATGTCGGATCTGTGGAAACCTGGCAATCAGCAAACCAAGGTCTGCGCAGGCTTAGACAGGTAGAGACAACATGGCCGGCACCTGCAACGCCGGCTTCCCACGCAGCTTCACAAGCTCAATGATCCGGGCAGCCATCTTCATGTCCAGGCTGCAAACGGTTTCCCAGATTTCGGGGTCACAAAGCTCCTCACTCCATCCAGCGCGAATCAATACTCTCCCTAACATTCTGTTGGTCCTCTGCGTGGAATCTGAAAGTTTCCATGAGGTCAGCCTGCTGCAGCACAACTTCGGTGAGGTCCTTCTCATCCTGCTCGTTGGATTTATGCAGAATCCCCAGTCGGGATCAGTCGGGTACTTGAGTAGGACAGTAGGACTTGTCACGGCTCCAACACGCCTCACGCAGCCCTAGATTCCTTCAGTTTTTCTGGACAGCAGTCCTCAGCAGCCTTGGCCAAGATTTGTTCCAAGGCTTGCATGCCTTTCTCCGCTTTTGGTAGTCGGCTGAGCGCAGCATCGAGCCTTCGGGGCCCAAAACTGTGCTGTTTGCAAAGGCCCTTGACATCCTCGACGGCTGTAGCCTGTTGACAACATCGCCCCGAACGCCAGCATGATCGCACAGGGCTCTCAGTCGTGGACAGACCTTTTGGCATCTCCAAGAACCCAGCGAAGGCCGTTCACTACGTCACTACGTCCACGCACGGTCACACATGAAACAGAGGCCTGCCTCTGGAGCATTTCCTGCCCTCAAGCCAACCGAAAGCTTCCACATGGCATATATGCCAGAAGTACTCAGCCTTCGGGGCCCAAAACTGTGCTGTTTGCAAAGGCCCTTGACATCCTCGACGGCTGTAGCCTGTTGACAACATCGCCCCGAACGCCAGCATGATCGCACAGGGCTCTCAGTCGTGGACAGACCTTTTGGCATCTCCAAGAACCCAGCGAAGGCCGTTCACTACGTCACTACGTCCACGCACGGTCACACATGAAACAGAGGCCTGCCTCTGGAGCATTTCCTGCCCTCAAGCCAACCGAAAGCTTCCACATGGCATATATGCCAGAAGTACTCAGAGGTCATTTGAGTTTAAAGCAAAACCTGCCCCAATACTGGGGCGGTTTTTGAGGCCGGGCTCCACAATACGATTCCCCCATACTGGGACTGTGTTTGAAGCCCACGTCACCAATTTACTTAAACTGGTGCCGTACTCTATTTCACAGTATTGGGGAAGTGTATTTGGAAGACAAATACTCCCCTGAAGCAAGCTTCAATAGCTTCCCCAATACTGGGACGGTATTTGATGCCAGTTTGAAGCCGGCTTCAATAGGGCTTCAAATACGATTCCCCAATACTGGGACGGTATTTGAAGCCGAGGGGACTCGGGGTATTTAAAATTCTAAATAGACGAGTAACCATGAGGACTCGTCTTGGGTCAGCCACCGGCCTCGGGATGCCACCAGCAGAATTTTAGTTCGCGACCTGCCCCCAAGTCCCCGAACACCATCGCTTCAAGAAAAGCGACTCAGTCCCCGAACACCATCGCTTCAAGAAAAACGACTCAACATTGTAGCATCCATCACTGTTCAAAAGGTGTCAGAGGGTGTGTGACGAGCGTAGCATCCATCACTGTTCAAAAGGTGTCAGAGGGCGTGTGACGAGCGAGGTCGACCACGGAGGCACAAACCTGTCAGGCAGCATAGACTTTACCTGCCTCCGTGGCCGGCCTCGCTCGTCACACACCCTCACGTTTTGAACGAGAGTTCGAACCCCAGAGTATGTGAATTGAGTGAGCAAAGGGGTGGAGAGTGAGAAGTAAATGCATAGTTGCGAGGGGTCAAAGAGAGAGTGGTGGACTAATCAGGTAGCTGCCAGAAATTCAGCAGATAGCACAGCTTGATGCTGTGTCCTGTTCATGAAAGTCCTTTTCCTAAGCTCGAAAGTTATTTGAATAATGCCGACCCCACGGGTCGTTGAGAGAGAGAGAGAGAGAGAGATATAGAGAGAGAGCGAGAGAGAGAGAGAGAGAGAGAGAGAGAGAGAGAGAGAGAGAGAGAGAGAGAGAGAGAGAGAGAGAGAGAGAGAGAGAGAGAGAGAAAGAGCGAGAGAGAGCGAGAGAGCGCGAGCGAGAGCGAGAGCGACCGAGCATATTTCACCAACTGATTGCGCTACGCCCCATCTGGTTGTCCTGGTCGCCCACAATTGCAGCTACAACAACCATGAAGCAACCGTGCCCTCGATACTCGAATCTTTTAGCCTTCACGCGGGATGAGGAGCAGTAAGTCTTGCAGGGAGCATTGCCAGTCTGTGCTAGCCTGCAAAGTTCGACAATGGCATGCGGCAAAATTCCGTGTGGAGTCAGCGGAAGAAGAGTCTCCAGAGCTGATTTCAACTGCTGTTGCAGGGCCACGTCAGCTGCAGATTCAATTCGCAGCCAGTGCAACATCCGCGCAATAAGCGTCGAGAGCTCGTGTTCTTCCAACTCACAACATATGTACCGCAGATGCCTAAGTGAAGACCACCCTCTGACAGGGCTTTCCAGGTCCGCCAGTACTCCATCACAGATAAACCGCTGCACGGTATGAGAGGCCTGGCGATAAGCCATGGATAAAGCCTGGTACGCAGCCGTGCATACCTGTGCGTCGCTATCATGGCAATGAATCAGCAAGATACCCACGAGCTTGCGGATCTTCGGTTCGTCCAGACACCTGGTGCCTCCTTCCGATTGCATTGGGCGCCGGCACCATGCTTGACCTTACATTGCTTTTGCGGCCACCAAGAATCCCTAAATCCACCCGCTATGGAGGAAGTGAACCCGCACAGCCCCACGAGCTTGAGGCATGCCCGTATGGCACAGGGGGTGCGCAAGGGGCTTAGAGTTTAGAGGTAAGGGCTCAGAGATCTGGTATATTTATATTTATATTTGTGTTTGAATTCTGGTTGCAACGCAAACAATCTTCGCGCTGGTGTCCCCCAGCTTCGGAACAAAAGCTTAAGGGGATGGTTGCATTTAATGCTTGTGTTGTATCAACAGATGTCTACATCTTGAAGTTTTTGGAATAGACTAGTCTTCGATTTCTTCTATCAATCTTCGTCCGTTGCACAGAAGACGCCCTGAGATGTAGTGAGTTTTGTCACGATCTCGCCTTACAGTCTTACGCTCATTGTTCCGGCCTGTGGGCTTCCTGGCCGCCTCTGGGTCGGGACCACCAGACCACCATGCTCCGTTGCTCCGTTTAGTACCCTGAACAGAGTCGCCGGGCGGCCTCTGGCCGAGAAGCGTTTAGAACCAGCAGACACGGATCCGGTCTGCTTCCCCCCCCCCCGCCCACCCTCTGGGACCCGCCCAGATCGCTTGGAGGAGCTGCAAACCGATCCCGTGGAGGGTCCTGAATCGTTGCAAGCCACAACCCTGAATATCTTGTTTGGCAGGCAGGGGCACGGTCTTCATCGGCGACAACTCAAGTCTAGAAGCCCCAAAAGCTCGCAGGCAAGCGGCTGTCCAATACCTTTTGCGCCTCTATGTCCACGAACCCCGAGCACGCAGTGACGGGGGATTGCTCCAAGATTCCCTTGGTCGCCTTGCTGAAAAGCTCCCGTAGGAGCACATCTTGACGATGGCCAACAACCAACGCCGAAGGCCTCGGGCAGACTGTGACTCCTGTGGCTCATGTTCACACTCGCCGATGTGAACACGCGGCCTCTCGAATGCCGCCTGGGCAAGATGTTGGACAACAGCCTGGCCAAGGAAATGCTGTAAGTATGTAAACTCGGGGCACAAGCAACCTGGCACAATCCGATGCCTCGGCAACTCCATGCGCCTTGGTCTGAGGCGACGTCTGCAGGAACATCACCAAGTCCTGCACCTGTGCCACGTGACTTCGCAACCCTTGCAACTTGTCGTCTCGCTTCGATCTGCGACCTCAAGGGAACTCGTAAAGAGGTGGCCTGAGCACTCTGAAACATGATGGAATGCTCAACATTGCTCAACCCGCTCAATACCCTGCCAGCTGACACTGAGCCAGGAACAACGGAATGCTGATTAGGTCCGGGTCTTCAGGTCGTTCGTCCTTGCAAGCTGAACAAGGCTCGCGCATGCGCCACAATGTGATGGCAAAGGCAAGAAAGAGCTGGCCTCTGCATCTGGCAAGAAGGATTCAAACCAGCTGACCATAGAACTCCAAACAGAAACCAGTGAAACCGCTGGCCTCAGCTGAACTGGTCAATTTCATAAGCGCGATCTGACATACTGTAGATACACGAATCTAGAACATGCACACCTCCATGCAGACAGCGGAAGATGGTCAAGCGGCACCAGAATCCCTTCCGCCCAATGTTCAACGCGCCCCCCTTCCTCCCCCCCCGCCCTGTAAAGGAACACTCCGAAACGGCTTTAGTATTTGGGAACAAACAGGCCGTCCGTTTTGAGGGCTTTGAGTGTTGGGTTTAGGGATTGACGTTGTGAAGCCTTTGGGTGTTCATTAGGTTTCAAGCGTCTACGAGTGAGGCTTAGGGGGAACTGAAGGGTTAAGGCTTCAGGCTTCAAGCTTTAGGGCTACTAGGTTTCAGGCTTCCCCCTATTTCGGTTTTGAAAAGGGCGACTGCAGGACCCGGTTTGGCGGAATGTCCAAAGCATCAGCAACAACCAGCAGCCTTTGCATGCGGCGGGGCGTTGCCGCTGCATATCACAGAACTACAAATAAGAGTGTTTACTTCAAGGAAAGCGTCGTTGCTGGTGCCATCTCAGCATTTGCCATGGCACCATTCTCCAGCAAGCGGGGGGCAAGCTGCATATCGTTCTCGCTGTTGAGGACATGGCTGTCCGAGTTCATGGCGGCGCCAGTCACCGTATCGCCATCATAGCCATCTAGCTCGTCCTGACGATTCGTCTCTCTTCCGAACTGCCCATTGGACATGTCCCTCAGCGCCTGCAAGTCTGACGGCGCGGTCAAACCAAGGTGTGCTCTTCCAGAAAGCCACACCGTCCTTTGCGCAACTTCGCTTTCCAAGCCTCACAGGGAACTGGCAATGCTGCAGAATGCTCCAGATGTTCCCAACACTGCCAGCTCTTGGCAACTGTTGAAGGTTTAAATCTATGGTTTTAGGTTTAAAGTTCAAAGTGACGAAATCTTAAACCCTAACCACTTAAACCTTGGCTCTATCGGGTTGAAGGGTTAGGGTTTAGGTTTCATTGCGGGCTTACGTTTAAATGCCTCAATCTTAACCCCTAAACCTGTCAACCTTAACCCTATAGGGTTGGGGTGCCTACATGATCATCGACTTGCTGCTGTGGCTTTTACGATGGTTTAGGGTTTGAGATATATACATTTGTGTAAACCTATAAAGAATAAGGGGAGCCGCAATAGGCGGACGCCCATATATTTTATATATGTATGAGTGTATACATAATACAGGCTGCTAGTTGGATATATACTTCCGCTCTCGTTTCAAAACATGCAGGCAACTCTACATTGACTGGAGAGACTGTAGCGACAGGTGACGACCCAGATGATTGTGAACCAGGATGGGCTAATTGTGGCTCACATGGAATGATGACGTCCTCTTTTGGCAGCTGCTTGTAAGACTTCCCTGTCAAATCTCTAAGACGAATGACAAAGGAGACACGACATGAATCTGCAGCCGAGATGCCAAGCACGCCATGGCCCTCGGAGCCTCGAGGGAATGTCCTGAGCTCTGTGCGAAGAATGGCGAGTTGGCCCAGCCAGCGTCCCGTTGCTGTCACGTTGCTGTCAGACGGAGGCGACCCGCACATGCACTCAACGATGCGCGAGGGCTGATCTCACTGAGGTCAAGGCCAGGACAATCGTCATACCGGAGAGCACTCGAACTCTTGTGAGAAGCTACATGAGAACCACCTGCTTGCACAACAAACTGCCCAGCAAGGGGCTGCATAGATTGTGTAACACCTGGCCTTCAGGGTACATGGAAAGCACCCGGCACCATGGACCTGCTCAATACATCACGCAGCTCAACGAAGACCGCTGCCGTTGCGAAAAAAGTTGGATGGCCTCTGGTTCAGATTGTCAGGGGCCCAACGAAGCACAACCACTTCGTTTGGGGCCAAGGCAACAGGAGACAAGGGTTGCACGACTCTCCCTTTGCAATCTCACATCCCCCAATCCGCCAAGGCGTCTGATATCCCCCCCTCCCAAGACCCTTAGCCCTAAGCGTGCAAAACGCAGTCGCGGCTTTTGACACAGATCCCTGGCGGAAACTTCGCAGGGTGAGGTGAAGGCGGAGGCCAGGTTCGGGGCGCATGCGGCAGGGCTTTGTGTCCCTGCACTACTGGAGCCTGTTAAGCTAGCGTGCGCCGATGTGCTTTGCACATCGCTCGGGGCACGAACGCCCGATTCTCAAATTTTGGGCAAGAGTCCTGACAAGGGTCCTGACTCATGACAACCAGACGGCTCCGCCCTCATCATCTTCCGCGGCCTGCCCGCAACTGAAATCAAACAAGCTGAAACCCTGTATCCAACATCATCTGCTACAAACAGCAGCTGCCTCCGATATCCCAAGCTTTGAAAGCGTACGCAAACTCAACACTATCCAGCAGACAGTCCTACGTCGAAGAAAAAAAGTGAAATACCGCTTCCATGGAGACCCCTCACCGACCTGAACTTTTTCAAAAGTAGGCAACATTCAAAAGCCTTCATGAAGGCGATCTGCCGCTGGAGGCGCCTTATCTCCACCTGAGGACAGCAGTGTTCATGGCAACGTCCCGGGCCCTACTGTCATTTTCCTAAGAGCTTTCTATATACAGGATTGGATGTGTAAGGTTACATTTTGACTGACGGATAGGATTTAACGATGAGGATGTTTGCAAGAAGCCGGTTAGAGTTTACAGAGATGTTTGCATGTAAAGGAAAAGGATGAAAAGGCCTGCTGCCATAGACACGACTCTTTTGTGTGAGTGGACCACCGCTGTGCAGGCAGTCCCATCATCACGCAGAATCTAACAGGCGTAGTGAGAAGCGGTGGTGATTATTCTAAGCATCCTGTCACATATTGTGCTGCGCACTGGCACATGATCCATACAGGTTTTGGACCAAAGACGCATTGGCCGCGCTTTAGGCAGCACTGATGGAAGACCAACTTGTGGAACACGTGTGTGCAATTTGCTTCACCCGTTTGCCTGAAAAGCGTTAACTTGTAGCTGGTAAAGGATCTAACTTGTTCCGAGATTGTGAGGTGTGGGGAGGGGGGTATTGCGACATGAGTGGGGCTAGCCACTAGCCCACGCAGTGGAAAAAGCAAACATGCACACCGACCCTTTTTCGAAACCCAACACACTGCCCCTGCCAAACGCCTGCTTCTCCAGCAGGGTTTCCTTCAGAGCTTCGTCCTGGGAGGGGTCGATGTGCCATCCACTCATCCGGCCAAGGCATCCAGCACACCATGCGCAAAAGTTACAGGAGGCAACAGGAGGCAGAAGACGTGATTCGCAGGCCGCCTTTGCAGCGGCCGATTTGGTTGCCAGCCTCACCAAGAAATGTCAGGATGCTTTCGGAATAGATTGAACTGGTGAGTCTAAAACTAAAACGTCAACTGCAACATGCCAGCTTTCAAGCACGTGCGAACACTAAGGGCAGACTTGTCGCAGCAAGTCCCGACTTGACATCGTCGGACATTCAGCAAGCCAACTCCACTTTGGGCCCCGACTCCACGCCTTTCATAAAAGATTTTCTGTCCCGAGGCTTCCAGCGGCTTGCCTGCAAGCCACAGGCATGCGACTGCTCTCCAACAGATGGCGGAGCACTCGTTGCCAGCTCCTTTTGCTATGAAGCACAGCTACTGGTTTGGGATGCAAGTCCACTTGGAGCTGCTTTACACACTGCAGTGACCGTTTTTGCTTCAGACACGAGGGCTCCTCGGATCTTCGTACTACAGTGAGCTACTGGAGAAGCCCTTGTAAGACAAGCCAAGCTACCAACTGTCTCGCTTCCTCGAGGGGGTTGCCAGAAGCCTCACAGCTCTCGAAATGGCCAAGCATGTTTGCCAAGCCCAGTCAAGATTACCGTCGATCCGCACCTTTGTGGCTGCCTCGAAGTGTGCCGCGACCTCGCTTGCAGCGGCCTCTCGGTCGAAGTCCTTTGGCCAAGGCATGTGACAACGGGCGGCGTCGCAGGTAATTGAGTGATCCAGATGATCCAGTAGCAGGCTCACTTCTCACCTAGAGAGCGTAGCTTGGCAACGCCGTCCTTGCTGCTGGTGGGCTCGACAGCTTTCTCGGGAACGTCGGGTAACCTCACAATATCTCACAATCACCACTCTAGGATCTGCGCTTGCACATGCTTGCACGGTCCGGAGCATGAATCAAAAAAAGGTCCAGTTGATGGCCAGCAGTAGCAGACCAGCAATAGCCAGCAGCAGGAGCAGCAGCAGCACAGATGTGGGGCGTCCCGGCAAACTGCGGCATTTCGTCCGTACTTAAGCCGGGCCTACTTTTCACCCAGGCCCCAGCGCCAAAGCCCGCGGTTACGATCGCAGTTTGCAAATGGCACGTGGTGCACTCTGCTTATAAAAAACTGGTCTCACCTGCACTACTCTGCAAGCTTCTGGCTTACAACGCGTTCCTCGCATGTAGATTGTTTCAAAGAAGTGATTTGGGAAAGCTGTACATATGTGAGTGGATATGCTACAACGCCGGCGCGTATGGCGGACGAAGAAGTGATGTGCGGGGATCCTTCAAGACTTCATCCGGCGCATCTTCGGGCTCTGGAGTCCACTGGAATCATGTTTTGGATTGACTACTGTACGTTGTCATCAGGTGGGTGGGCGCCAGCATGAAACAGGGCGGCTGTGAACCCTATACAAAAGCCGACAGAGCATTTTGTGCAACTGCAGAGGAAGGGAGGGGTGGGCGGATTTCGGTCCGGAAGGCCATGAGAATACTGCAAAAGTTTCTGCGAGGGATGTGTCCAGGCCGGGATGGCACTCACTTTCCTGCACAGTGCAAATCCCAGAGCGCTGCTTCACCGCTTTGGCACGTTGATGCCTCCGTTAGTTAGGGCCCGTTAGGGTCATTGAATGATGGGCCAGCGAACCTCAATTTAATCAATTTGCAACTGCAAGACCAGATCCCTGGCATGTATTCCACGCGTGTCCAAAACATTCCTTCCTGCGCAGCTCCTGACTGCCGGCGTGTGTCCCAACCATTCCTGCCTGCGCAGCCCCTGCATGCCGATGCGCTGTTTGCTTGTGTCCTGCTGCCCTAGAGAACTCAACAAGTAAAGCGAGGATCTGTAGGGAGAACCTTGCATGGCATCATGAAAACCCTGGGCCACCCACTCTTGCTCATCTTCCTCTCGGATGGACTCCAACGGCATGGAATCCGGCAGCAGTTGAGCAAGAGCCTACCACATCTAACCTTGACCAGCAAGCATCACATGCTCACAATTTTGGGGCGCACCACTAGTACACATCACACAACCACACACATAACATCACGTAACACCCACGACGCACGAAATCAAGAGTGCAAGGAACCGCGCATAGAACAGGCACACGGCTTATCGTCTTGTATCGGGTTTTCTGCGTAGTGCGCCCACGGTATCAACGAAGCAGAGAGCCAGCTTCTATAACGCTGAGTATACTGCAAGATTCACGCGAACATGGATATTGCAGGTGTTGCCCGAATGCCACTTCACCACGTCGACAACCCAATGGAAATTCCAAAGGAAATGCAAAGCAGCTTTCAACCCCGAAGCTGTTGGGAAACAACGACGGGGAATCTATCCAGTGAGCCACCGGACAGGCTCCAAAAGTGGCAACTTCCCATTCTGTACATAAGCGCGACTTGAGACTTGAACGGGCACATCTGTGTAGACGGCCCACCAGGGAACAATTGAACGAGATTAACATCAGCAAGTGGCTGGGTAACGGCCTGAACAAAACCAGGAGACAGCAAAACGCATGGTCTTTTGAAGGCATTTTGGCGCATGCTTGAAATGGTGAGACAGTGTCGGCCTAATGGGTTTGACACTCACGGCTTCCAGCGCTGTAGGAACTGGAAAACCTTTGTTGCCACCTGCCACGCTCGCCATGGACACAGTATGACACAGTCAAACACCACGTTATGGCCTGGACGTTGTCCAAATTTTTGTCTGGATGCCAAACCTGCAGCCTGGGCGATCATGTTTCATGTTGGGGTTGTGTCGGGACTGCACAAACATTGCTGTAGCAACGCAAGCTGTGGCTGCAACAACTTCTTAAACGCCTTGTCTCGCACTTCGGGCGATGACATTTCCTGGCCCGGACAACGAAAACAGTTTTGGATTCGACGAAAACCTGGATGGGAAGCGGTTTGCTAATATGGAACCTGGCCTCAATCTCGCACAGCTGGCGGCTCGCATTTTTAAGGGCATCCTTGTAGGCTTTCTCCGCTTGATACTTCTTGCATCGCTCCTCGGCGTCAGACCTCAGCGCTGGCAACAACCTGCTTGCTGAACTTTCGTGTCGGGCCTAGCTCCCACAACCAGCCACGCTCTAGCTAGCGACTCTAACAACCGTGAGGGCGCAGCAACTGAGCAGTCGCATCCTTCAACTTGTCCTGGAGCTCTTCCTTGGCAGCCTGCCATTGTTCTTGGAGATCTTCGTGCCTGACATCCACGAGGGATCCCGAAAACATGACAGCAAAGTCATCCTCGCCTGTGCAACATGAGCCTGCGGGATCGCATGCCAGAATCATTCAAACCCGAACTGCAAGCAGGCTGCTGCTGATTCTTCATCTGCAACTGCCTTGGCCAAAATAGAGAAATCCAAGCAAACCGCACGCTAGCAAAAACACTTTTCTTTTCTTGTGAAGCTTTTTGCTATGGAGGCTGGTTGTATCCTTGTGTTTTGCCGTGGAGGCCGGCCGCGCGGGCCCTTTTTTGGCAGGGCTAAGAGCATCGAGAGCCGCAAAGTGGCTGCAGTGCTGAGGGAGACGAGCGGGGAAGAGTCACTTGAAGCAAACTGCCGAGCCGCTTTGATAAAGGCGCAACAATGGCAGCGCACTCAGCGACAGCTGGCAACAAAGCAGCGGCACGCAATAGACGCTCGCGCAGCATGCGTGGGAATTCAAAGGAGCTTGTTGTCTGTGTCAGCAATGTGTGGCAACGTGACCGCGGCCGTTGGCAAAGCGGTTTTGATCGAGGACCTTGCGCAGGATGGTTTTCATCTTCTCTCAGAAGCAAAACACAGCGAACCTCACGAAAGGCGACTCCATGACAAACGACGTGCAGAGCTTGCACATGGCGATTTCTCCAATAAGGGCAAGTGTAGGGTTGGACTTTGCGCTGGGCCCGAACTGTATGGTTTGCGCAGACATGTGCAGCCTGAGCAAACAGGATGCTCGCACGATGCGTATATATAGTGAAAAGAACGCCTATTGATTGCGTGATTTTCCTTGTTTGGAAGCGCAGCATGCGCAGCCTGAGGGGGGGGGGGGGGGGGGGGGGGGGGGGGGGGGGGGGGGGGAAAGCCAAAATACGGGTTGAAGGGAGGCCCTGCCCCTCAGTTGCTGGCCTGCCGTGGCTGCGCGGCCCTCCTTTCCCTAGACGCGTGCCTGTATTTGCTGCGGAAACTGGGCACATTTGTTGCTGCGGAGGCGGAGGCTCACTCTGGCACTTGCTAATTAACCTGCCTCGGCTGCGCGGTCCTCCCTTCGCAAGACGCGATTTGTTGGCTGTGGAGGCTGGGCGCGTTTTCTTTTGTGTTGCGGAAGCACGGGCTCACTCACTCACTTGCCGACCGCTGTGAAGCCCTCCCTTCGGTCCGCCTTCACAAAAAAAGCCCCCACAGCAAAACACAACACACACGTGCTCCACCTCACACTCAACGAGTGAACCGCAAGCCCTGATCTTCACTCCGAAGTGTGATCATGTCTACGCCCACCTCAGGCTCAGGCACAGTCAGCTGCTGGATTTGCTTGGACTGCTCCTCGCATGTCCTCAACTGTTTGGTGCGGAACCTACCAAAAAACCACGCTCACGCGGCTGATCTGGATTGGAACGCCGCTTCAATCCGCTTCTGGGGCGCGAACTTACTCAACTGCGCGTCAAGCTCGAAAACTGCACTGAGCTGCGATATTCGCGTCTCATGGGCCAGTGCATTGTGGGAGCAGCTGGAAGCCTGCAACACGCGAGCACATCCATATCTGAAGCTCTTGAGGTCTAGATCGCGATCTCTGTGAACGCATGGCGTGCGTGTATCTAGGGCACTGAAATATGGGGTCCTCGGCTTTGCCCCTCAAGTAGGAACAGCAGCAGCAGCAGCAGCAGCAGCAGCAGCAGCATGAGCAGCAGTTGTTACTTGTGAATATTAGCCATACATTGCAGCAATGCTAGCAATCGTAGTACTCACAGAAATCATATTCGTCATAGTAACCATAGTACTCATAGCTACCCATAGTGAGAAATCTCGCAGCGGCAGTCAAAAAGAATGTAGTTGGGTGTTGAATGCCCCGCACGTGTTCGGTAGGGATGTTGTTTTCTTTTGGCGTGATCGCCTGCAAACACGGCGCGAGCCCCAAGTCATGCGCCGCCTGCAGTACACACCCTATAGGGCATGTTTTCACAATGGCAGATTCACAATCCAGTTGCCAAGCATCATTGCCAGGTCTATCCAGAACATGCGATTGAGCTACCATATTTGAGAAACATGTCATACACTCGCGGAGACGGCACACGAATGTGCACTCGCACAGACAGCGATCTGCAACTCAACGCCCCCACATAATCGGAGCTGGCTTTGCGACGAGAGACGTTTGAACGCGAGCTCAGAGTAAGCAACATGCGCTCATGGACACCTCGACCCACGTCCACGGAGCGCTCCAAAAGCCGTACGAACACAGGCTCAGAGAAACCGCGATCTGTAGCTCAAGATCCCCGCGTAACCCTCAAAGTTCCCCCAAATTGTTACAGAAGGCCTAGGCCTAGACCGAATTGCGGATGTTTCCTATTTCATTAAGACAGATAAGGTAAAACTAAAATCAGGTGTCTCTTTGCATTGCCGGACAAGCTAGGATTTCTGCCGACTAGTAAGGAAAACCAAGGAGAACTAGAGGAAACTACAGAAAGCTACAGAAAGCTAGAGAAAGCTAGAAAAGGCTAGGCAAAGCTAGGTGTTTCCGTGGATGGGGTTGGCGTTTCCAGGCCGTGCTTTTGGTTTTTTAGGATTGTAGGGATTAGGATTTAGGATTAGGGTGTAAGGTTTAGGGTTTTAGGGTTTTGGGGATTAGGGTTAAGGTTTAAGGTTTAGGGTTTTAGGGTTTTCGGGATTAGGGTTAATTTAGGGTTTAAGGATTAAAGTTGAATGAAATCGATGGGCTGGAACGCATAAGATTCTGCAGAAAGCTTCAGGGCTTGCGGCATGCGATAGCATAAACAGCATAAATCATTAATCACATCAACTGGACTGTCGGCCGTCGGCCTTCTGGTCATCGGATCCAGCAGGTGAAGGATCTGAATCCTGGGAAGATGATGCGACGGCTGAGGGCAGATTATGGTATTGTATATGATACCATAGTCTGTCTAAATTCAAAACATATGCATTACAGTCCTGTCAAAAAACACACGAGTAAGTGCTCGACCGTTTGCACGAGCGTGCGCGCGCGCGCGCGCGCGCGACCAAGCGAGAAGGCGAGCGGCCATGGGCATGGGAGCGACTTGCGTGGCTGAGCGCGACAAACGCGACCCCAAGCACGCAACGTGTGCGACATGCGAGGGCGAGAGCGCTCGCGTGCAGCACCCGTGTCGCCTCTGGGCTCGCGTTGGCGCGCCCTAAAACCGTAACTTTACGCAAACTGCAGTGCCTCTTCATCTCGGCGCCCGATCTCTTTGAGCATCTGCACTATCTGCACCCTCGGGGGAACAGAACGCAAACAGACCGCACCACTGCTCACTCGGCATCTCTACCGGCCTTGGCGGGCGAAATTCCTCCGCGTCGGCCCAGAGCGCTCCAGGCGAATCCTGCCAAAGAAACCAACCAACATCCCAGCGTTTCTCAGCTAGCACGAACACCTCTAACCTCAGCAACAACGTCAGCACAGACTGGGAGAACTGGCCGGTGAGCCTTGCCATCGGGCGCGTAATCAACACCATCAGCCCGCGCAGCTTGCACCTGCTCCAAGAAATGACGTCACATGTCGGGGAAACGAAAGACTTGCAAACAAGAACAAAGCATTGCAATTGCAAGGCCTGCTCAGGACTTGCAACCTCCAGGCGTGACCTGGGCCAGTGGAGCCCTATAAATGCGTGGCTTTGCAGCCCTCAATGGCCTCTCAGGAGCCTGCGCCAAACACCCGCACGCCTTGGCGAAATTCCCCAAGCAAGCCCGTTGCCACTCACGGCAGCTGGGCGTCGCTCCTGGTCCACATACCAGTCTGCTTCGGCGGCCCTGTTCAGGAACACCTTTGCAAGCACGCATTCTCGCGACGAATCTCGAGAGCTCGCTTGCTGCTGAGCTTTCCTTGCGGTGACCGTTCTGACACTCCAAGCTGCTATCCTGGAAAAGCGAGAGGCATGGACAAGCTTGCAACAGCTTCATAGACAAAACTGAGGCTGATCGTCCTGCGCATTCGCAAATTTGAGCTCTGGGTTGCTTTCGCTTTCGGACTCTAAGTCCGATTCCTGCACGAGCAATGTCTGGGTCGGGCAGGCCGCTCAAAAGAGAAGCTGCAGATTATTCGGGTCCGTGTCCGGTACTCCCGTTGAACCACTCAGCCTGCGATCAGGCCTGGATTAGACAACCAAGCACAGTGCTGATTTCAGGGTGACTGTGGCCAGGTCCCTGGTAGCTGCTGTGTTGGTGAAAGAAGGGATGCGCATGCCTTTCTCTGAGATCGCCGGCTGACTGCAGGAGGTCAAAGTCTTTTCCGGCAGGTTGGGCACGCCAGATCTCGGGGTGCTCTGATCGCCCAGAAAGTTATCGAAAAAGGACCTCAAGTCTGGCTCCGCATGGCTTTGTATATGGCCTGCTTAGCCAACACATCTGAGGCTATCAAGCTCTGGTTTGTAGTCAAGTCTGGCCACGGCTGAAGCTGCGACTGCACCGTGCTATCGCCTTCAAATGAATGCCACTGCATAGCAGCAAGCAACAGCCTCAGAGAAGACAGACAAATTCTCGGGAAATTGCCTACAGTAGTCCTGCGCCGCACTCCGCCAATCGCCAACCTCTGGTGCAATCCAGTTGCTCGTTGCCAAGGTCTTGGGCGCGTAGAACTGCGCCCGACAGCTCCCATTCCAGCTCACACAGCCGAAGGAGCTTGGTGTCCAACTGCGCAAATTGCCTGGGATTCTGGCGTTTGTGCACTGTGCAGTCTAGAACGAACCCATGCAGGTGATCTGTGCAGGCCAGGCTGCACGCATGTTTCCAGGTGGAGGCCAGTCCACGCTGACATGATCGAACTGAAAATCGATGCTTCTTTTGCTGCGCAGCATGTGTCGGAGTGTTTCGCCAGAATGACTGCGCGTCAGATAACCAACATGTCTCAGCTGGCCGGTACACAACATGGCTAAGTATGCTTGGACGCTTGCATGATCCACAGTGTTTTGCCATTGAGGCCAAGAACGTTGAAAGCTTCTTCGGGCTAGGCAGAGCCGAGATGAAGCTGATTGCAATCTGGCAAGCATTTCGCGACTTGAATTGCCACTGCGAGAGCATAGTTGTGCCTTCTCAGCGCTTAAGGCACGCTTTAGAGTCTACCCTTCCCTCGTAACCTTAAACTGGACTCAACACTACATTTTAACAGCTGTTGAAGCGCTCTCCGGGGAATCTCCCGCAGATCGAGAGAAAAAAGAGTGAACCCTTCTCGCTCACAGCCTGTCGGCCATCTCGACACCTGGAGAACGCTGGATCTCTTCTCAAGCGCCGTGTCTCGACTTGCGCAAAGGTCTGCTGCCCTCGCGCCGGCTCGTCGGAACGTGCAGCAGCAGCTGCTGCGTTTCAGGGCGCTTCCGGCCTGGCCTCGAAGTGCAGGCCGCAGATCTGCCTTCCGCGCGGCACCGTGAAGCGCCAGCACAGATCGGGAGCACAGGCAGTCTGTGAGAGTCTGAGTCTGCGGCCGCCCAGGCGGCTCAAAAGGCCTGGTTTCGAGGCCGACTCCCCTGCAGCGAGAGACGGGGGCAGCGCAGCGGTGCAGTGGTGCAGTCTGCTTTTAAGCTCCCTGCGGTGGCGGGCCGCAAGGGGAAATTCGGCCGGATCACCTCGGCACTTCAGAGCACAGATCGAGAGCTACGTGTGTGCGGGCTGCAGGCAGGGGCCATCTCCGGAGCGAAGTTCGGTCGAAGGGCTCCTGCCTGACATGGCACACTAGGGCTTTCGGCTTTCTCTCTCAGACTCTTCTGCTTTCTCTGCGGGCAAAAGGCCGAAGGCCGAGGGCTCACGAAGCGATTGAGGGGTGCCCGCAGGGGCACTCCGAACCCAGCGGGCCCGGCGGCCCGCGGCGGGGCCTCTGCAAGGTATGAAATCGAAGAAGACAGCGAGAGAGAGAGAGAGAGAGAGAGCGTCCGTGTGTTTTTGTGTTTCCAAGGCAGGTGCTAGAAGTCCTGGCCCTGGTGATTTCACCTCGGCCGACTGCTCCTCTCTCTTCTATTCACACACTTCTCACTGGGGCCCGGGCTGTGGGAGTAGAGAGCGAGAAGGGTCTCCGCACCTCCGCAGCCGGTACCACCAAGAAGCCCGTCGCCGTCTTGACCAGCACGGTGCCAATCTTCCACTGGCCCTGCAAAAAGAGCGCAAGGAGAGCACCCTCTCTGTCTCTGTTGCTCCCGGCCTCTGCCAAGTTCAAAGGCCCCGGTGCTTTGGGAGGGACAACGGTGTGGCTAGGACCACGAGGTTTGGGAGCGGCGAGACCTGCTTTAGGAGCCACCACACTCGGACCGCTTGCGGAGCCGCTCGCGTTGAACATGCTCGAAAGTCCGGAACCGACAGAACTGCTCTCGTCGGGAAACGCCGGCATCGAGGAAGCACCTGCCATCTTTGCACGGCTGAGCCGATGCCCCCGGCAGACACATACACACATACTCACATACACATACGCCAGATGAGCATACACATACGCATAGTTACTTGATCCATGAAAACACAAAAAACTCTCTCTCTCTCTCTCTCTCTCTCTCTCTATATGCACGTGTGTATATATATATATATTATGTGCTACCCTTTACTCTTCGCTGTGCTTCTACGGCTAAGACAATCTACCAACGATGTCAGGCCTCGTTCGACTGCTTATTGATGTAGATGTGTATATATCTATATATGTGTATTTGTATATTTGTATATACATATATATATATATATATGCTACCCCCCCTGGGTTATCCACCCTTTTTGGGTGGAAATGACCAAAATTGGCCCATTGCCCGGGCTGCGCCGAGGGGATTGGGATCGGTACCATGCCTCCCAAAATCCCCAAAGACCATAGACAGGGATTTATTGAATGTAGGATTGTAAAGGAACCTTGCTCTTTGAGGGCAGTACCATATATGTTACCCTCCCCCCCTCCGAAAGATCAGGGTTTTCAGATACGAACTGACCTTCAAGAATGCGATAGAAAGGCTCCTCACGGTAGGCGTTTTGTACTGGTGAGCCGCCTTCATAGAACTAGTTGGAGGTTTCTTAACATGCAAACGCACCTTCTTAAAGGGTCCTTATGATAAGGATCCTACTACTTGTGGCTTCTTTATTGAGGCCCGTGGTCTTCTGAAACTCCTAAACACTAAAGGTCCATGTACATGTACGTATCGTATATACAATAGCTCTAATATTGCCTTTCAGCAACCCTTTTACAACCAAAGTCGACACTACTTATAGGTTTCTCATAGAAACCATAAAGAAATCGTTTGTGGAGCCCTTATAGATCTCTGCAGAAACCTTCTCACTCAATCCATTACAAAGCCCTGATAAAGCCCTGATAGAATCCCACCAAAACCCTTTCTTGTGTAGTTGCATGGACCCCTGCAAAGACACATCGAGTTCTCTTCTTGGATCTGTCAAAACTCTGGACTACCCCCCCTGCTAGAACGGAAATATTGGGCCAAATGCCCTTGACTTGAATTCATTCGACAGTCACTTTTGTGGTTGCTACCCCATGTGTATGTGTACGTTTATATAGTATTGCGGCAACCCATAATTGGCACCAAATATGCAACGTAGACGATTTCAGTAAACATACACCCCAAATCGAAACACAAGGAATGCCAAAACACGTTGAGGCGGCGTCGCACGAGATTACTATGGGGGGCCGCCCATGGTACATATGCATATATGCAGCTTCCTGCTTTTTCTGTGTTTTTGTCTCATCTGAGCCATCCTAGCTTCCCAAATGCGAGCTTTTGTATATCACCAGGTCTCGCGACACCCACACACAAACTCCTAAATACATATGCATTCCAGGTAAACTGGACAAGCACTTTAGTACTGACACTACAGACGCAGGTACATTTCTAAAAGCATTTGGCTCTACGAGATTACTATGGGAGCCATCCATGGTACATATGCATACACGCAGCTCGTCTTTTTCTGTACTGTCTCATCTTAGCCGTCCTAACTTCCCAAATGAGAACTTCTTCCTGTTGCATCACGATTGTGCAATATCGCGAGGTCTCACTTGCGACACGCGCACAACAACTCCGATGCAGATGTGTAAATATGCTTGTTATGCAAACTGGGCAACACCTCAATGAAAATATTACTGACGTAGGTAGAGCATGTGGTTCTAGGAATCTTCCTGAGAAGGTGTTTAGACTCCGTGGACACATACATGTGCATTCAATGCTATCTGGAATGTGCCTATACGCGTGTATATACATCTGTGTATGGAGATCATCGGCTCAGCATTGTGTTGTGTAGGTGGCGACTCCGTATCCATTTGTATCTGACGCAAATGCGAAAGGTCATGCTTGTGTATATGTAGCGAACTACCCAATATTATTGCAGTCTTGATGTTGTTGTTGCGGCGGTTGAGACAGGACTGTGTATGTAGGGTTTGACTTTCAGTCCGGAGTATTGAAGTTCAATCCCGAGGATTGAACTTCAATACCCCCGGATCCAAGATTCAAGATTCAAGATCCTGGGGAAACTTTGTCCTGGAATCTTGAATCTTGAATCTTGGATCCGGGAGTATTGAAGTTCAATCCCCGGGATTGAAGTTCAATACTCGGGATGCATCGGGAGCGCTCTCACTTCCCTAAACAGGTGCGCAGGCATGTACACTAACATCTGTTGTATTGTTTTGGTACTGCACACGTTCAGAGTACACACGTACTTGTCTATTGAGTCGGTAGATAAGCGAGGGGGAGGGGTCAGGGGCAGATTGCACAGGATTTACACCAAAACTGGTGGATAACTCGGGGGGGATACCATATATATATATATATATATATATATATATATGCTACCCCCCAAAGTACCATTGGACACATGCATTTTGACTTGTTCGCAGCAGCTGGTACTACTGTTACGACTGCTCCTAAAACTGCCATTAAGATGGTAAGCCCTCTCAGGACCATCATCTAATTGTTTATGTGTGTCTCTGTGTTGTTGCAGCTAGAAACCGAAAACACTGTAAATACCTTCAGATTATGTATCGATTCTTTTTGCCTGCTGTTTATGCGCATCATCACACAGTACCAAGATTGAAAGCAAGTTCCAGCTTCGTGGCTCCGTTCTTGTCGTCGTTGCAATTTGCTCCAGCTATTGATACTTACTACTACTTACAACCACTTACTACAACTACAACTACTGCAACTACTGCAACTACTACTACTACTACTACTACTACTACTACTACTACTTCTACTACTACTGCTACTGCTACTGCTACTGCTACTGCTACTGCTTCTGCTACTGCTACTAAGCCCCTTGGCTCCGCCAAGTAGAGACAGAGATGATGATCGAAAACGTGGGCCCCTGCCACCTTAACGGTAGCAGATCCTCTAGAAGCCTCTGGTTCACTAACTTCAACAAAGCTGTAGGCTGCATGATGGTTCACGCCCTCAGCCTCATTGGGCTCATTGGGCTCCTTGCAATTAGCACTAGCCCTACCATTGGCCGACCATTCTTGCCGGAAGTCTTCTCCTTGAGCTGGCCTGGTCCTGAGACGGATGGCAGGAACTGCTTGTGTGCAACTGTCTCTGCTGCATATGCCGATGACACAGCCCAGAAGCCTGTCTCTCTTTTGAACCGCAGCCTTGAGCAGGATCACTTTTGGGTAGCCAGCGTCCGACCATGTCGCCCAAGGAGGCCAAGGCTAAGCCGCGCCGCGGCAGTGTTGCTAAGGCGGTGGCCAGATCGCGAAGTGCACGCTCCGCTAGGGCCAAGCCATGTGCGAAGTCGACAAGTAGCTCACCGACGTCCCCGCCATCGCCGGACTCCGACTCAGGTGAAGCAGCGAAGGCCAGTGCAGTGGCAAAGCACACCTCGGTGCCGGCGCCGATTAATCCATCCGCCTGCCGGCCCACCACCCCTGCCTTCTCCCTGCCGGGAGCACCTGCGACTTTGCCACCCTTCTCTACACCAGCACAAGCATTGGCGGCAGCGGCCGAAGCTCCTTCTGGCCTACCAGGTCCCGTGCCAACGACAGCCACCCTGCCGACTGCGATGTCTACACCACCTCGACCTGTGATACCTCCTGCAGCGGCCCCGGCCAAGGCAATTTACGGCCAAAACCAAGGCATCGGGACAGATTCCGGGCTGGTCGATCACTATCAACATCCGACCTCTTCTATGACCTGGCTCTATGGCCCGAGCTACTGCCTCTGAAGGTGCTGTGCCCTAGCCTGATAGAACGAAAAGGCGATTGGAGCTGTAACTGTCATGCTGTTCCCAGTGCTAAAGCCTGGAATGTCAACCAGGCGCAGGAAGAGAGGTCCCTTTCCGCGGGAAACACAAAATGGACTGCACACTATTATCCTGGCTGCGGCCTCTGTGCTGCTACTCGCTCTGCCACTTTGCCCAGGTCACTCCGATGGTACTGCCTCTGGCCCAACTACAAGGAGTTCGTGCCCTGGCTCACACGTGTTTGTGGACTCTGCACATTGACAGGACCCGGCGACCGGATGGCAACTCCGACTTCTGGCACCTGTCGGACATCTCCCGGTCCTTTGCTCACACCTCAGCTGCAGTGCTACCAGTTCGTCTGCGGTCTGACATACTCAGTACTGCACATGCTGCCTCTGCATGTTGTTTTGCAAGTGTCTTGGCACTACCTTTGCGTTCTGTCCAGAGCTATCTGTGCCATCTACAGCCGTTGCCACCACAGCGACGACACTTAGCCCATGCCAGGCTGCTACCCAGGGCCTCTCATCTGTCAGGCACCCTAGCCATCTCAAACTCAACCCGACCACCCTGGGCGTAGGAATTCTGCTGGATGTCTTCCACCTGTGCTAAGCCACCCTGCTGCCAGTCACTCCTTCAAACAATGGATTAGCTGTGAAACTGGCATGATGTGCGAACCGCCAGTGCCGGTGCTGGCCTTTTTGCCTCGGACAACCAGACACTCTAGCCACTCATCTCTGATTTTCTACACTCTTTATGTGAGCCACTCCGGTCCCAAGTCCGGGGACCGACGTTTTCATACGGCTGATAACCAATCCTCCACAAGATACCTGCTGGTTGTCAACATAGCCTTTGAACAGTCGGTTGGGGTGAGGGTTGAGAGCGAGTGCCACCCGCTCTCGAGACCGAAACTCACCCTGGTGGTGAGGGACGGGAAGCCGTGGCAGGAGCTCTTTACACTACACTCTGCTGCGAGGGCTGTCCCGCGGGACCCCTCACAAGACCACACTATTCGATTTGCTCAGCGGAATGATGAGGGCACTGCCGGGGCCACCTGCCGGGCTTCATTCTCATTTTCACTGTTCCATTGGATGTACCCCAGAAAAGGCGTGCCCTTCATCTCATATGTTGCACTGTTTTGCCATTGTCAGCGCCGACAAGGCTATGTCCCTCTGCAGCACAAACCGAAGTAT